GCCGAGCCCCCCAGCCATGTCAACCAGGACGTGGACACCCCCAGCCACGCCGAGCCCCCCAGCCATGTCAACCAGGACGTGGACACCCCCAGCCACGCTGAGCCCGGCTTTATTCCCCAAGGAAGAGCCTCCGGCGATGCGGAGGTGCGAAGCGCAGCTGGCTCAGAAAGGTTTGTTCTCTCCAAGCCTCTGTCATTTATTATCATGGTGAAGTTTATATTTTAAGGTGTTGTTGGGACTGTGTTTGCACACTGACTGGGTAGTTTAGAAACAACAACAACAACAAAATCTTGTCCTTAAAGAGCTTAGCTCAAAAAATCAGAGGGAAAAAAACCCAAAAATTTACAGGAGAAGGCAAGATGTCTTGAGATTAGTCTCTAGCTCAAGAAAATACAGTCCCAGAAGGGAACAATTAAAGATCGAGGGACAGAAAAACTAATTGAAAATAATTCTGTCAAGATTAGAGAGCTCTCCTTCACACATTTATAACCAAGCTGCTGATGCAGCCGGTTTCGCACAACCTCTGTCCTGCATTTATATTCAGCCCCTGTGAAGTGCTGGGATCCAGTTCCTTCACTGAACTGCATCGTTGCTCACTCAGATTTACCATCATGTACAGATTTTAGACTGCTGGAAATTCATTTATATTATTCAGTCTTGAATAATTTTTTTTAAAAATAGCATTTCACAGCTTGGTGACATATCTTTCCCTCCATTCCAGCTCTGATCAAAGCCAGGGCCCCAACACACTGGCTTTGGTCCTTGGCCCCGTTGGTGGTGTGCTCCTGGTCCTCACGACAGCTTTTGCCATTTTCAAATACAGGCAGCTGAAGGGATCTGGTGAGTCTCTGCCTTTCTAACCTCTCGAGAAACATCAGCAGTACCCAGACAAAGGCGATCCCTTGTGCGTGCCGCAGTCCCTGCTGGGTTGAGCTGCTCCCCAGTACCCCCATGAGCTGGGCAGACAAGGGACCCCCCTCCTCCCCCTGACCCCATCCACAGCTCCAGCACCCAGCTTTGTGCAGGGTGCCCGGGCTGAGACGAGACCACCCCTCCTGGGCTTTGCACGTGCCATTGCACAATGTCTCCTTGCACAGAGGCGGGTCAGAGGCGATGCGCTTGCACCGACTCTGAGCAAGGGTGCTGGGCATTTGTTGGGGTATTTACTGGGGGATTTATCTCCCCCCTCTGAACAGACCTGGTGTCAATTGGGAGCTACAGGACAAACATCAGCATGTCGGACTTTGAAAGCGTGAAGGGGTACAGCGCGAGCAACACCATCTGCGAGAAAGACACCCAGGAGACGCAGATAGGAGGGGACGGTAGGTTGCTGACGGAGGGGCTTGCTCTCCATCCCCAGCCCCAAGGCAAGAGGTGCTGGGGGGGGTGGGTTTGCAGAAGGACCCTGCAAAACCTGCAGAAATACCTGCTCACCGACAGCCTCACACCTTCACACCTCCCTTTCTCTCCCTGCAGAGTTCATCACCACCAAGGCCCCCCCGGCAAGCACTGCTGAAGCAAAGAAAGCAAAAAGGGTAAGAGGAGGTGGGAGAGACCCACTGAGGTCAGTGGGTCTGGGAGGCACCGCGGCAGCCCTCCAGCCTCTGCAAAGGGAGCTGTCCTCTCCCAGGGGCCGTCTTTACACCCAGGTGCTCCCCATCCTACCTGCATCCAGCCACCTGCAGCAGATCAGCCTCCATGGGGGGACCTTAACCCCTTCCTGACCCCACATTTTAGCAAAGACATTAATAGCAGTCGCCTTGCTTCAAACAGAACACCAGCAGCCTCAGGTAGTGACAGGGAGGTTGGATTGTTACCGTAAATGTAAAATACTGGGATAAGCAGATGTGCCAAGAGCTGAACTGGAGCGATAAAGAGGCTCTTTGCAGAGCCAGGAGCTCCGTGTTTTAATTAAACAGCATTTGCAGCTGTTGCCTGCCTTGAGAATCGACAAGGTCGGGCAGTTCTGTGTGAAGGAAATTAGGGTGGGAACAAGCCTAGAGATAATTCTCCAGTGTATTTCTGCAAAGGAATGTCCGCTAATCCCCTTCAAACTGTAATGCAAAAAGCACAACAGTCACTCTGAGCGGTACCAGGACACCAGTAATGCCCATCAGGCTCAGGACAGGGGAGCTGGGTGGTGACATGGGGGACAGGCATGCTGCAGGGTCCCTAACCCACAACAGCCACATAATGCTGTCCTCCTGTCCCCCCCAGAGCTCCAAGGAAGATGCTGACCTCGCCTACTCCGCCTTCCTCCTCGCCTCCAGCAGCATCCCGCAGGCGAGCGCTGAGGGGGACAGTGCTGCCCCGGCCATGTCCCCCCCAGACCGGGAGGGACAGGTCTGAAGGTGAGGGACCAAGAGGTGGCAGCGACTGGGATCGGCTCTACCTTGAGGATCAGAGCAAGACATCAGCATTCAGCACTGTATATTGCTTCCACAATTTGCTATATCTGCACCTTTTTTTTGCTTAAATTCAGCTTTGAGCGGTGATTTAGGAGAAATGATTTGACGTCAAACGGGGGTGCTGGTCTGAGCGAGAAAACTGGGAAACGACAGGGGCTTGGGTGGCTCAGCCCACCGACTGCCCCGGCCCCACCAGCACAGGGGGGCTCTCAAAGACCAGAAGCGACATTTCTAAAAAATTCTCATTTTCTTTTAAAGGCAGCTAGAAAACTCTCTAAAACAACGGCTCACGCTTTTGATTCCTCTTAGCTTTCACATCCAGAGGGCAGTGCCTGCAGACCAGACGTGGTCTGACATGTTCCTATGCACAAGCAATAAAGAATGGCTCTGGCTTCAGCAGACCTGGGGACTTGCCATCCGTGGGAGGGTGCGGAGAGAGGGCACCCCAAGGGGTGCAGGAAGGGGTGTTTGGGGGGGGAGCTTTCTCCTCCTCTTGCTGCAGCACTACAGCATCACATCTGGTGCTGCAAATGGCACAGAATGGTACCAGGAACCCACCATTAATGGAGGTGTTTTGAGTGATGTGTCTCCTGCATTTTCATCAATTATCATAGCATGACATTAATTAGTGTGACAGCCCATCAGCAGCCTATGTAGCTGATTAGGCACCGGTGTTCACTGGCGCTGTACCATTTGCATACTGCAGAACAAATTCCCCAGAGCAGCTGAACCAACAATCTCCCATTTCTGACCTGGAGTTGGAACAACCGAGCCCAGTCCATGCTCCTGTGCCATGGGGCCATCGTGCTGAGGGTGCCCTGGAAAACCCCCCCTTTGCTCAATAAACCTGAGCCACACATCACTCATGCATTATCCCTGGCTGGCTTCATGTTTATCCAGGCAGAAATGAGGATGGCTGTAATTAAATGTTGTCTCTTGGTCTTATTTTCGAGAGTGGATGACTAAACAGGGAAAAGCAATTTATTGATGCATGAATTTCCAAACAGCAGCACGACACTGCTGGTGTCAGCCAGGTGTGGGTACAGAAAGCTGAACACCCCACAGACAAAGCAACGTAGGAAGCAGCAATGATGAAGAAGTTGTGAGAAAGCAGAGAAGCAATTTTCCCTGAGCACCAGGAATTGGATGGGCTGGTGCCTGCCTGGCCACGAGAGGGGCAGAAACTGCACAGACAAATTCATCCCATTTGTGTTTTCAGGGCTGCTCTCGCACCCACATTGAAATGGTCATCACCTTACTGACAGCACAGCCCCAAATGTCCCATTATCGCCCATCTGCCTCCTCTCCCGGGCTGCACCCCCTGGCAGCACAGGGGGAAGGGGCTCAGATATCAGAAAAGGTGCGGGGGAGCCAGGGCAGGTCTGTGCCTGCCCGGAGTTGCCGGCAGTGAAGGGATTATTCCAATGCAATAGGAGAGGCGTGAGCTCAGGAAACATCCCCAGGGGTGAGAAGTTGTCAAGCTGCAGGAGAATGCTAAGGTTTGGAAATTTCAGAGAGGAGAAAACCCCTTTCGCTCTCCCTTTGCAAATCCGCTTCCTCTTCACCCTTCCCGCTGGCATCCCTGTCGCAGCTCTGCTCCTCCTGCACCGGAGCAGCGAGAATGAGCCAAAATCCCGGGAGAGGTGCAGGGGCAGAGACGCGTGGGTGGGCTGAGCATCCTGCCAGCCAGCTGTGCTTGCACCCCGCAGCCCCAGCAGCTGCCTGCCCACGGCTCCTGCTCCTTCGCACTGCTGACATCTCATTTCCAAAGGGGCACGTCCCTGGGCTGCCACAGCGGGTGGGAAAGTATAAACTTAGTTTGACATGAAAGCAATAAAACGTGCATGGATTGAGGCATGCAACCCTCCAAACAAGTTACAAAATCAATAAAGTCTGATAAATAATAATTGTGACAATGTAAACTGAGGATGTGGAATAAACCCCCCACGCACACACTTCTCACTCAAGCTGTGGTCCAGACACCACCACAGTCAACAGATGGGTCCACAGGGACCTCCCCAAGCATCCCCATCTCCTTCACCAGTTCTCACCAGACATGCCAACTGATTTCCTTCGGTCAGTGACAAGCTGCGGTGTCTCATTGCATCACTGTTTCATTCCTAACGGTTTTAACAAAAATCCTGGTATGTACAAGACATGTGATTCTTAAATGGTTGATTCCAAGGGTGACGGCATTGAAAGATCAGCTCTTGTGAACACTGGCAGAGCGTGGAGGGATGTATTGACCCATTGATGGGTTTACCCATTGATGGGTTCACCCATTGATGTGTTCACCCATTGATGTATTCACCCATTGATGTGTTCACCCATTGATGTATTCACCCATTGATGGGTTCACCCATTGATGTGTTCACCCATTGATGTATTCACCCATTGATGGGTTCACCCATTGATGGGTTCACCCGTTCATGCTCTGGCAGCAGGACAAATGAAAGTCCCCCTGAAAAAAACCCATGAGAAAGCAAATTAAGAGAATCAAAGCCCTGAGAGACTTCCCTCTAGCCTTACTCAAGCCTTTTATCTAATGGATGCAGAGGTAAGATTTTATCACTTGAAATATTAGGAGTGTTACCAGGGACATAAACATCCAACTGCTCTCCAAGCAGCTTGTGCTAATAAGCAGCATTTACCTGTGCCCTGACACCAGGAGTATATAACACCTTCTGCTGCTTGGAGGGATGATCTGGGTGGTCTTGGTTCATCTGCTAACACATTAGTCCTCTGCCATTGCCAGATACTGCAGTGACACGCATATTAACACCTTGTGGGAAAACACAGTGGAGAAGGGATGTAAAGCATGCGGAACCAGTGGTACCAGCAATGGGTGTGTAGCCACTGGTGGCTAAAAGAGCCCAAAAGGGATGAAAACAGACCAGAGCTATACACCGTGCACAATAAAAATGATCTCATGGACAAGCTGGGGTGATTTAGTACCATTCAGGTTTCTCTGGTATGCAAGGAACGATGCATCACCTCGGGATGCATCACCAGGAGTGACATTATCTGCCACGAAAGGGCACCATGGTGAAATCAGAAAGTTTCGCCAGCAAGAAACATGTAATTCCGCAGAATTTTGACAAACAGACTCAGCAGGGTTTCAAATGGGGTTTATTTACAGTAATTGCAACAGCTTTCCACAAAAGTTACGACTGTCAGTAAACTACATGATACATACAAGAGCCTTTTTTTATTCAGCAACCGCATATCTTGCATAGAAAGTCGTATTTTACTGATAAGGCAGAAAAATATCATCTCAAAAGGAAACACAGGTTTCTAAGGCCTGACATACCTGCTAGGACCTGTTCTTGGAAGCATTTCTCACCCTGAGCACCTCCTTTCAGCCAGAGCAATCGGCGGCAGCAGGCATGTAAGGCTGAGCCCAGATTTGTGAGCATCGCACTGCAGCGTCAGCTACACCGGGGTAGTTCCAGCACTCTTTTTTTTAATTTATAACTTAAACAATACTTTTATTAAATGATCACAGCTTATGTCTGCTAGCAAGAGAAGCCCTTTTAGATTTTCGCTGGGAGAGCATCCTTTGACAGAAGTCAGCTAAGCGAGTGCTGTGCTGGTTTGATCCAAGTCGATGTTTCCATCCGAATGCAGGATGCCTTCTCCTGTGGCTGCACAGAGCTGGGATCGATCGGTGAGAAGCCCCACTGGTACAGTCCGTTATTCGCCCGCTCACCACTGGTCTGTGCAATGTCCCAGCAGCTTCGTTAGCGGGTCGTTAACGCCTTCTGCTCTCTAAGGAGATTTCTCCAGCCAGTCTAGCAGGATGTCCAGCTCGCCCAGGGATTTGATTGCTGCAGATGTGACGTTCAGCTGAAAGGATAAAGGTGCAGGTTGTAAGCAAAGAGAGCGGTACAACCCAATGGACAGAGAATCTGAACATCTGCGATAATTACTGGACTTAGTCATCAGCTTACCCCCTCATAGTTCACAAGTACTTGCTGCAGTTTCTCAGTGGATTCCTGTCCACAAGTGCACTTATTTTGCTCATGCTAGAAAAATAAGAGAGAATTCATTAATTTGGGGGGTTGGTTCATTTTTAAAAATAAGAGATCCCTTTCCAGTTATGCTGGAAATTACTGGATAGACTGAGACCCCGTTAAACTGTGGGAAAGGCCTTAAATCAGCCTGCAGCTAAGAACAGAGTTTACTTCAACAGACAGGACAGGATAAATATTGTTCTTGAGACCTAACGGAGGAGCTTGCTAGTCAGGGGGCAAGTACAAACACTTCTCAGTGGCCATACGCGCTCTTCACATCACGTTTCTTTGTGTTCTTTTAAAAACCATATTTATAAATAAAGATTTTGTAACTCTGTTAGATGCTTAGGATTATTTATATACCAAATACTAACAGATTAAACTAAATTGTAGCAATACCCGAGACTTACACACTGCCCGAGTTTCCTCTTCACGCTGAGGAAGGAGTTGGCGATGCTGCTGATTTTCCGGTTGACGTACGAGTCCTCAGTCTTGCAGTGTTTAAAAACTTTGTCCACGTAGAAGTTGAAGAGCTGATGGGTGACGCAGCATCTTTCTGAAGACTGAAGGAATAAATTTCATTTTTAAAAAGTTTTCCAAAGGACTTTAAACCTGTAATCGCCAGCCTTTCTGCCTCTGCTAGAACAAGCCGTCTCTAGCACCAAGCACGGTAGCGGAGCACAGCTGGATGTTTTGACTCATGTAAAGCTTTTTCAGTGATGCTTGCTGTAAATCGATAACTTACAGAGGTGATTATTTTAGACTGATTTGCCAGGATATCTGTCCTCAGCAAGGCTCATTGAGTCAACAAAATAAATAGCTGATTTCTAGCTGGGTATTAGAGGCTGAGACCTGAAGTAGTGGCCCACGTCTAGCGTGTTTGAGTGTAGGAGAGCTGGAAAATATTTATTTATAATATATTCCACCTGCTTTTAGATTCTTTAATAGCTTTTCACCCAAATCCCAACTCACTTCCCTATGCTTCCACCGACCGCGGTGGTGGGGAACCGCAGCAAAAGCTCCTGTAACCGGAGTATCACACGCAACAACCAAAAAACCCTCTGCCCACCATTTCTGGAAAGCCAGTCAGGGTGAAAGCCCGGTGCAGGAACTGGCAGCGGGACACCCACCTCTTTTCGCATACGTGATCCGCATCACTTTATCCTCCCTGACCTGCGCTGTCTGCCAGCGTCTGTATTTCGCAGGAACTCAGAAGTCATGGTACTGAGCGACTTCCCCCAGCTCCCCGAGCTGGCACACCTTGCGACCGGTGTCGGGATGCCAGCTGGTCAAAATTATTCAGAGAAAAACTGGGGGTGAGGTAAGGACACCTACCTTGACTTTGTGCAGAGAGTGCGGGCGAGACAAGATGCTGAGGGTCCTGATGGGGTCCCGGGCTTGCTGCATGGGAGAGGACAGAGATGGTGATGGATGTGCTGGCTCCAGGGGGGCTTCAGGGGCAGCCCACCAAAGAGATTCCCCAGCTCCACAGGAGCCCGGAGCAATACTTACAATGTTGGCTTTAATTGCAGTGAAACCAGACCTGATCTCAGACACACTCATGGAAATGCTGCAGGCTCCAATGTGGAAGATTTTGGTCCCAGCCGTCGGCATCAAATTCAACCAAGATGACATGGAGAGGAGGCAGAGGAAGAAGTGGGATGCCTTCATGCTGCTGCGGGATGCTTGGGAGACCTGATCAAGGAAGACAATACTGCCTCGTTATCTCTCCTAAATAACACAACTGTGATGCTTAGGAAAATATACATATATTATATAGTACTTGTACATGTGTATGTGTATTAAAAAACCCACTGACCAGTAACTCTTACCCATTTCTTCCTTACTCCCCATGTGCAAGAGAAAAAAAAAAAATCAGACAAAATCAAATATTTAATAGAAGATCTCAAAAGAAGAAAAAAAAAAGGTAAAAGATTGCATGTAAATAGACAAAATTCTTCTGAACAATTTTAATCAGAAAAATAAATACAGATAAACCAATTTTTTAAACGGCTGCTGACTCAGAAGCAGCAGGAGGTAACTGACCGAAAGCAGCAGATCCCAAAGTCTCATCACAAAAGAAACTGCTTTCCCTCAGCAATAGCACACTTGAAATGCAAGTTCTGCTAGCACTGAAAATTAAGGTTATTAATGGAAAAAAGCCTTTCAGAGACACATTATAGGAATATAAGGAAACAGATCAAAAGGATAAAATTGGTATTTTACCTTGTTCTTTGATGTGGGTTCACCTGTGTCACTGACGTCTGACCTGAAGAGCTCTGAAGAATGTGTTTTTATCCAGGTATCGGGAGGAAATAATTCTTGGATTAACTTTTGGGATTTTTCTTGCTTTTCCCAGCATGTGTTTCCTTTTGTAATTTACTGAATTAATGAGCTAGTGAGAGGGACCAGCTTTCTCCCCCACAGCTGTTTCCCTAACCTACGGAGGCGGGAAATCCTGGCATTGCCACAGTGTTTTCAGTCGGGAACAAGGATGCGACCGAAAGGAGGGACCATCGCAGGGGTTACATCCCGAAATGCCAAGCTTGGGGTTTTCCCCCAGCACGGAGCTGCCCTGCCCAACCTCTCCTGGAGAGGGGCCGTTCCTGGTTCCCACAGCAGCGTTGGGATGCAGGAAGCAGCATCACCTCCCTGGGATGCCAGTGGTCCAGACCCTCCAGGGTGGGAGGGTTGCTGGCAGTGGGACACGGAGTGCTATCAAACCAGTGTGACTGTGAAAGCTGGCAAGAGCTTTCTCCATCCCTGACCTGGCACATGGGGCCATCACCCGCTGGGTACGGGGGACCTTGCTCTCAGGCTTGCTCCTCAGGCTGGGGACACTTATCTCCATGGGCATGTCCCTGGTGATTGGGGACTGGAGATGCTCCGGTATGAGAGGGCAGGGCTGCGGGATGGCAGAGCTGCTGCCGCAGTGCCAGGACAAGTCACATGGGTGATTTAGGTGATTGTCATGCACAGTCCAAAGCTGTCACCCTGCAGAAGGATAGACATGTCACTCGAACCTTTAAAAAAGGTTGAGGAACCTTTTAAAGGAACCTTTAAAAAACCTTTAAAAGCCCCAGCGCAGCAGCAGCAGGAAAGTTCTACCCACAAGCAAAGACTCTGACTGCAAAGTGTCTGATTACCCTGCTGCGAGATGTAGCTGCTGAGAAAAACCGATGCACCCAAGGTCCTCAAGCAGACCAGTTAAAAAAAACTTCTTGGACAACCTGTACCCAGTAGGGAAGGTCAGATGGACTAGAGGGCATGGAGGCGGCACAGCCACCCTCCGGAGCAGCCGCGATGCTCCAGGTGAGAGCAGCATCCCGAGCGCGTGCCTGCTGCAGCACAGGTACCTCTGTGTGCCGCTGCCCCTGGGCCAGGGCTGTTCTGTAACGTTTTGCTGTGTGAGTAATTTACTCATAACCAACCTCAATCCTGAGTGTATCTCTGTCTTCTGGGAAAGACTAGGCAAATAGATTTTATGCCTGGGCTAGTCACAGTGTTGCTGAATCTGCCCCAAATGCACGAAGCGTGCCTCCCTCATCCCAGTGCCTTTGTGCTGTAAAGCAGCCAAAGAGGCAGGTCCAGACCTGCAGCAGGTTGCATTTGCCCTTGCTGAGGTGTTGGAGGGAGCCTCAACAGCCCCAGGCTCTTGGTCTCTGCCTTCCTCCTCCAGTTCCCGGCTGCTGCCTGTAATTGCAGCAAAATTTTCACTCGGAGCAGAGGAAGCAGCACCCGCAGCATTCCCGGGCATCCTGGTGCACACCCAGCCTCGGTGGGGAAACCAGGGAAGAGGCACCGAGTTCTTACTTAATTATGTAAATTGCAGATGAGAAGGGATTTGATTTTTTTTCTTTCCTTTTGGTAAGGGAACTGACACTTGACACAGGTCAGCAAAATGCCAGCAGGCAAGAAACAGTTACGGGTTAAAAACTGCCAGCCACGCTGGGGGAGGAAAGATGCTGGGGTGAGAGGAGAACAGGAGTGAAATGTCCATTATGGGGATCCAGGTTCTGCTCTGTCACAGAGCTCTGCATGGTCCTGGGCAGGTGCAGAGCAGAGGCAATGGCATGATCCTCACGGCAAGGGACAGGAGGACAAAAACCATGGCGGGGGGTGGGGGGGGGCAATCCAGATATTTAAAAATTAAGAATGAAAAATTAGGTGTGCAATGATGGCAACTGATCACCCCAAGTGCTGGACCTGGGGGAGGTCTGAAACCCTTGCTTTTGGGAGCAGCTGGGATGGCATCAGCAGGGACCTCGCCATGCGTTGGACCGAGTCCCGATGGAAGCGCATCGCCTGGGCTTGGCTCGCCCCAGGCGGCCTCACCCCTACCTGCCAGCTGCAGCAGCATGAAAATAACAATAAAACAGCACCCCATTTCTCATATGCTCTGGGAAGGAAGAGGAAAAGGAGAAATAGGGATTTCTGAAACACAGCAGCGTGACAATGTGGATAAGCTCAGAGAGTGAAATGGGAGCTGGCTCCCCCAGGCGCTCCCAGCACCATCCAGCCTTTCATGTACAGCAGCGTTGGGTGCAGGGAAGCGGTCCTGTCCCCGGGAGCCCTTCCAGACAGCTCCCAGCTAACGGGGCAGGGCTCTTCCCTTGGGATTTGGTAGCAGGAACGTTGCGACAGGGCACACCAGAAGCAGTTACGACCCAAACAACATGCAAAGGCGGCACAGAGGGCTGCCAGCCAGCCACCACCGTGCTGGGGAATGAAAAACTCAGCCCTGTGTGCCATTAGCTTGTCGTTCATACAGATTCCAACCAGGCGCGATGCCCAGCCTCTCCCCACCACGGAGTCGGCCGCATTCGTATCACTGCAGAGTAATCGCGTCGCTGCTGCGGTGACGGGAGCATCGCAATGAGAGCAGCGAGCTGTGCAGGCAAATGGCTTGTTGAAATGACTCATGAAGCAGCCATTCCTGGAGAGCCCAGGAGCATGACAGGAGATGAGACACCTACTCACTGACAGCCGGTTACGTCGGGGAAACTCGGCGGCAGCTCCCGGCCCCGCTCCAGCACTGCCAGCGGAGCCCTGCCCGGTGCGCGGCACTCGCCGTGCGCTGCGTGAGCATCCTGCCCAGCACCATCCGCTGCTCACCCAGCTCCTCGTTTGTTTGCTTCAACTATCCAAAACTTTTGTTTTATCCCAAAAAATCCTCAAAAAAAAAACAAACCCCAAAACCAAACAAACCCAAAAACCAACCAAAAGCACCAAGAAGCTGTTCTGATCTGCAGGAGCCCTGCTGTCAAGAAGTGACCACAGGCACACGTTCACACTCGATTTCCAGTAAAGTGTTTCAGAGCTATAAGGTACCAGTTTCAACCGTGCATTTCAATGCAGTTTCATGCTGCAAGAAGATCTGATAATCCTTTACAGACCACTCTTGGTTTGCCGTTCTTTGTCACTGCTCACATTTCACAGCACTTTTAGGTACACCAGCATTTCAGATCTGAGGCTGATGATGGTTTGTACACAGATCCCCAGAACTAGACAACGTGAATGTCAGAAATCCCTCCAGTAATTTTAATAAAAGAAAAATTGGGTGTTAATAACAAAGTCCAGCAACAGTATCTGACCTCAGGAACTCTTCCTGACATGCTTCAGGAAAAGATCCGCAAAAACCAGCCCAGCCACCTGGAACAAAAACACCTGTAGGGATTTACATCTCTCTGGGTAATACTTAGCTCCCTAAAACCCTTGCCAAAGGAGTATATTTCTGTTTCCATGGGCAGAAGAAAATATTTTCACTTTTTTTTGTATGCACCTGGAGTAATTTCTTGCACAATTGCAGTGGTGTAAATTGTCAGACAGCCCTACCCTGATCACAGCTGGGCGCTAATGGTGAGGTTGGCTGTGCTGCAGCTCCGAGTAGTTCTCAGCACCTTAAAAATCAGAGGTGTAATTGTCAATCACCTGGCTCTCCAATCCAGAGCCCATTTCAAACCTCGGTGGAGCAAGTGCTGATCTGGCAGGGTTCTCTCGAACCCCAGGAATTCACCCCAGCACCCAGATGGTGTCACCCGCCCCATCCTTTCCATCAGCTTCTGCGCTGACGTGCTTTGCTTTTTGTGATGGAAACACACTCCACGGCTGCCTGGCTGCTATGGTCCCTCTTAATTAGTGCAGCTCATTATGGCCAGAACCCAGGGGTCGGTTCCTTGCAGGCTTGCCAGCCCCAGCGCTCGCCCAGCCCCAGCTCTGCAATGCTGCTGACAAAAGTAAAAAAATTGTTTTTCTCGGTAAACTCATCAAATGACTCAGAAAAAGACTCTGCAAGGAGTTATCGGCTGAGAGGTGTGGTACATCGTGTGCCCTCTTCTCGGTCACGTTTCTAACCATAACCGCTTGAATAATTCTGAAAATCAAACACTGAGCACTGCCTTTTAGGGAGCCACAGGCTGAGCAAGGCTCAGCTTCATGAAACACAACTTTTATTCAGGAGATGTCCAAAGCCATAGGAGCAAAATTCAAGCTGCTTTCCAGGATTTCTTCTCGAGTAGCTCATGGTGCACAGGGCTCTCGGCAGCTTTAGGATCTCCCTTGGTGGGCAAAGCAGCTCCTCTCTCAGTGCTGAGAGGCTTTGGGAGTGTTCCCAACCCTGAGACGATGTCTGAAGCATCCTGATTTAGGGCATCACCCATGGCTGTCCCTGT